AAAATTTAATTATTTTCCGTAGTCCCGAAATTTTTCGTAATTTCTGCAATTTTTGCAATTCTCGTAATTTTCGTTAATTAACAAATTCCTTAATTTTTGTTGTTATTTCCGATATATATTTTTTTTTCTTCAATTTTTCGTAATTTCCGTAATTTTTGCAATTCCTATAATTATTCTAATTGTCCTAGTTTTTTTTATGATTTTCCTAATTTCCGTAATTTTTTATGATTTTCGTGATTTCTGTAATTTTTTTAACTCTTTATTTTATTTTTCAATAATGATAATTCCCGTAAGTTTTTGAAATTTCCGTTATTTTTGAAAATTCTCGTGTTTTTTTTTTTTTTTTCGTAAAACGTAATTTCCAATAATTTTTTGCAATTCTACGTAATTTTTGAAATTCGCGTACTTAATTTTTTCAATAATTTTCATTGTTTTCCGTAATACTTGATTTTTTTCTAATTTTATAATTCTTCTCTCAATTTTTTTAATAATTAATGTAATTTCCATGATTTTTTAAAATTTTTGTGATTTTTGTTAATATTTTTCCATATTACGTAATTTTCCAATAATTTTCGTAATTTTACTTAATTTTTGAAATTTCCATGATTTTTTTTCGTAATTTTATAATTCTCAATAATTGTAATTCCGTATTTTTTGAAATTTCCGTGATTTTTTGTAATATTCGTTATTTTTCATTTTAATAATTCCAGTAATTTACGTAATTTATCAATGACTTTTGTAGTTCTACGTAATATTTGAAATTGCCAATAATTTCCATTGCTTTTGTAATACTCAAATTTTATAATTCTGCTTTTTAGTTTCTAATAATGGTGGTTTCCGTAACTTTTTAAATCTTCCGTAATTTTTGCAATTCTCGTAATTTTTGTTAGGTACTTTTCCGTTATACGTTATTTTCCAATGTTTTCGAAATTTTAATAATTTTTGAAGTTCCCGTGATTTTTTTCCTAATTTTATAATTCTCCTAATTTTTTTCAAATTTAATTTTCGCAATTTACCCATGATTTTCGCAGTTCTACATAATTTTTGAAATTCCCGTGATTTTTGTACTCCTCGTGATTTTTGTACTCCTCGTGATTTTTGTAATTTTTTCGTAATTTCCGTAATTTGCTAATGATTTTTGCAATTTCACGTAGTTTTTGAAATTCCCGTAATTTTTTAAAATAATTCACATTACATAAGTATTTCCATTCCCGGTTTTTTTCGTAATTTTGCAATTCTCATTTTAATTTTTCAATAATTGTAAGTGCTGTAATTTTTTCAAATTTTCATGATATTTGCAATTTTAATGATTTTTGTTATTTTTTTGTAGTTTCCGTATTTTATGTAATTTTTCAATTATTTTTGTAATTTTGCATAATTTTTGAATTTCCAGTATTTTTCAAATTTTTTTACTTTCATTGCTTTTGTAATACCCGATTTTTTTGTAATTTTTTAATTTTCCTCTTAGTTTTTCAATAATTAATGTATTTCCCGTGATTTTTCAAAATTTCCGTGATTTTTGCAATTTTTCCGATTTTTTTCATTTTTTCGCGATCCCTGTAATTTTTGAAATTTCTATAATTTTTTAATCTATTTTTATTAATTCTATATTTTCCGTATTCCTGTATTTTCCGTAATTTTTTAATGGAATTTTTATAATTTTCCTAATTTTTGTGATTTCCGTAATTTTTTGAGGAATCTTCGCAAATTCGGTAATTTTTAGATTTTTTCGTCGTTTCTAATATTTTTCAATTTTTGTAATTCTTTAATAAATTATTTTCGTAATTTTTTAATTCTTTTAATTTTTATAATACTCATAATTTTTTAAAAATTTAGTAACTTTTTGTAGTTTTGAAATTTTTGTAATTTCTGCTAATTTCAATTTTTGTAATTTTCGTAAAATTTTCCGAAATTTTTGCAATTCTTATATTTTTCAAATTATCAATTCAAAACTATAGGAATTATATACATAATTCAAAATTTCAAAAAATATTCTAAAATTACAAAAAAATAGGGGAATTACAGGAATTATCCAAAAATGCAGGAATTACTCAAAGTTATTCAAAATTACAGGAATTATTTGTAAATTACGGAAATTTTCTCCATATTACAGAATTTACGAAAAATGGAAATTATGAAAAATTACGTGAATAATGAAAAATTACGAGAATTATGAACATTACGAAAAACTATGAAAATTACAGAAATTATTGCAAAAATTTTAAAATGTTGAAATGAAAAATCACTCCATAAAAAATTCTGGAAAATTGACTCATTTAAGCAAAATTAAGAAAAATTCACTTCTTACATTTTAATTTTTTTCTGGAAAACTGGCAGAGGGAAAATTTTGAAAATTTTCTAAGAAAAAGAGGAAAGTGAGGAGCTGATTATAGGAAAATTTCGAAATTTTTCACTGAGAAATCACTCTAGGGAAAATTCTGGAAAATGACTTTTTCAAGTAAAATTAAGGAAAATTCATCCTCTCACATTTCAAATGTTTCCTGGAAAATTGGCAAAAGAGGAAAAAGAGGAAAGTCAGGAGCTCATTATAAGAAAATTTCAAAATTTTCCAATGGAAAATCGCTCCAGGAAAAATTCTGAGAAAATGATTTTTTCAAGTAAAATTAAGAAAAACTCATCCTCTCACATTTTAATTTAGTTCTGGAAAACTAATAAAGCAAAACTTGTGAAATTTTTCCAGAAGAAAGAAGAAAATGAGGAGTTCATTATAGGAAATTTTCAAAATTTTCTAGTGAAAAATCACTCTAAGGAAAGTCGATAGGAAAGTTCTGGAAAATTGACTTTTCTAAGCAAAATTCATCCTTTCACATAAAAATTTTTTTTTGGAAAACTGCTAAAGGGAAAATTTTGAAAATTTTCCAGGATAAAGAGAAAAGTGAGGAGCTCATTATAGGGAAATTTCGAAATTTTCCAGTGGAAAATCACTCCAGGAAAAATCCAAAGAAAATTGACTTATTTAGGCAAAATTAGGGAAAAATCATTGAGGTAGAATAATAAGGAGGCGACATAAGGAGAAAAAAGCGTATCCCACTTCCGCCATATTGTTACGACACTTCTGTCTGAGATTCTGCCACTTTTGTCATAGCAACGCGTCAAAACTGCATCAGGGACGCATTTTCCATCCGAAAATTTTTTAAATGCGAAAAATTTTTGAAGCCTAGAATTCCTATTTTGGGTCTTGGAAGGATCTCCTGTTTTAGTATGTTGAAGTTTCTGTAGCTACTTTTTTTTTCTTCGTGTAATCTCGATTTTTTTACGTTTTTTTTTTTGCAGTTTCGCTGTAGAGCTCACGGGCCCCTCTCGGGCCCGGGCCTGTGTGCTTCGCACACATGGCACACCGGTAGATACGCCACTGGCTTATCTCGTACTTAAAATGAAAAGAACATCGCTTAAAAAATTTCAAGTGTACGCCCGCCCCCACTTCAACATACGACGACGAGAGCATCGAAATATTTTATGAAGCTATCTCAAAGGCTCTCTAGTAATTGGAGTAGATTTCAATACCAAACTTAGTAAGAAGTTGAATAAAGAAGAGACAAAAATCGGGAACTTTGGGTACGGTGAGAGGAACGATAGGGGCACTATTTTGATGAACTATCTAGAAGAAAAACATCTATATGCAGTCAACTCGTTCTATAAGAAGAAACCGCAAAGAAAGTGGACATGGCTCAGCCCTAATGGAACAACGAGAAATGAAATTGACTACATACTGACCACTGAAAAATATTATTAAAGATGTAACAGTCCTGAACAGATTCACCACAGGCAGCGATCCAAGAATGGTCAGAACAAAAAAAGGTATCGATGACAACTTTGAAATGAAAAAAAAAAACTAATGGAAACAAGGGACAACTAGACATGACCAAACTTGCACAAAATAAAACCAGGTACAAAGAGAGACTGAAGGAACAACTGACCCAGAACTTGAACGGCGATAATGAAAATATATTTAGATAAAATATTCAATACATTAACTCGGATGATTACACTACTCGCCTGCGGCTCGTAGAGCAAACTTCATCCTTCGTGAGTAATAGTCATCATTACCCACTCGATGAATAATATATACTAGTTAAATTTAAATATTCTGATGTAAACGCACTCAAAACTAGCCAATCCAATTTCTATAGTTTGATTGGTCATAAATGGCGCTTTGTATCAACTCAAACGAAATGACTGAGTTTACACCCGACATCTTTTGATGTAAATCCAAAAATAAAAACTCATTTTTTTTTTCTGACTAGGTTAAGAAAAGGTGGCCCAAAAACGAAACGTCGGATTTCAAATTTAATAATGTCATTGTCGAAAAAATCAAATTTCCAAAGAACGACATTGAGGGACGTATTATTATGTTTTTGAGGAGAATTCTCGATATTTTGCAAATAGATTGAATTTTAGGAAAAACATTCACAAATTAATACATCGTGAATCGACAAAAGTTTTTGCGTGATTTGAACGAGTTTTTTAATAATTTAAAATTCACAGAAAACGATTTGTTGAAATGATTGATCCAAATTGATTTATGGAAAAATAAGGTGACTTAAATTTGTCAATCGATTAATTTAAGTCACTTTGTTTTTCCCATAAATCAATTTAGATCAATCATTTCTGGTGATTCGTGATTCAATGATTACCCAAATAGATTCAAAATCACAAGAATCTAAAACTCACCCCTTGAGTAATTCAGGCTTAATAAGGTGACACTTTTATAATAAAGGAGACAGTGTGCATTATAAATGAAAGCCACTTGAAAAAGAATCAATAATCCTGATTGCAACAAATCACATTGCATTCAGAAGAGATGGAGGAATGACCTTAGAGGAATAGGTCAATGGGCATTAAGTGGCATTAAATTTTATTCAAAGGGTGAATAAATTTTTAAGTGTAAAGAAAAGAGTTGATGTGGAAGTGTTTTGTATAATTTTTTTTGAAAATGTTATTTTTGTTCAACAAAAAAAGCAATAGTTAAAATAGTTTACCTCTGTCTTAGTAATCCTATGTCGAGCTAGTTTAACAACGGCAAAATTCCCTTTCCCAATAGTCCGTTCTATATCGTAGAATCCAACCCTGACCGGGTTTTTGGATATTTTCTCGCGTTCGCCCATTATTCTGACTGAAAGTCTGGATGAAATCAACTAAATCACAACTGGAAAACCAATCTTCATGTTATTGCTTCGACAGGGTTCCTTGTATTGTCATAGTTGAAGTTTTGTGCTGCTAAATTTAGGGGTTTCACTGAGACGCGACGGCAGGCAGCAGCAGCGCCAGAGGACGACCGCCGACGATATCCCAGCACGGCAGGCAGCAGGACTTTGACTACTGCTGGTTTGCCGATTGCCGCCGTTGTCAGCTGTTTCCTTGTATGACTCCACGGTTCTGCGGCGTGCGCGCTATGACGCAAAACCGACGCAAATCCGGCGTCATGAGATTTCGAGTTTTCGACGCCCGATAACGTTTTTGAATCTTTCATACTTTATCCGGTGATTTTCTGTAAAGAGGATTCATAATTTATCATTAGATATTATTGCAGAATTATAGCAAAGTGGGAAGAATATACAAAAAAAGGGTACGAATTGTCTTATTCTAGGATGTTGATCCTCAGTTTTTGTATTTTCAAGTTAGTAGAAGGGGCCCTGTTGGGAAGCGAAAAAGGTACCTGCAGTAGAACGCTTTTAATGCCGAAAAAAGTGGTCCTTTCGAGCCATACTCCGTTTTTTTCGGCAAAAATGAAAAAACGGAAAATGCTGTAGTGTATAGATAATACACATACACCTATACCTGATATAGCTTAATGTTATCTTTAGCGCGTTTTGGACTAGTCTTATCTACAATTAGGCGCTGACTTTTTGAGGATCTACATGCCTATTTAATAACCTAACCCAGAAATTTAGGCTCACTTCTACAAAAGTTGCATTTGTCCCTATTCAAACTTAACCCAGCCTTTTTCATTCTTTGGAGTACCTCCCCTCAAAATTTTGAAATGTGTTTTCATGTCAGGTGTAATTATGACCACGTCATCTAAGTACTTCAAACAGTATATGGCTCTAATTCTGAAGCCAAAAGCAAAACAAGAGCCTGAAATGTGGCAGGAGCGTTCGTTAACCCAAAAGGCATCCTATTAAATTGGAAAAGTCCCCGCTCCGGAATAGAAAAACTTGTGTAGGTACTTTTTATTTTCATTCTCTATGTTGATTGGCCAATAAGCACTTTGAATGTCCAAAGATGTGAGATATTTTGCATTCGCTACTTTATCTAGAATTGTGTTTATGTTAGGTAATGGGTAAGCCCACTTTTCTGTAACATCATTCAACTTGCGGAAATCTATACAAAATCTAAGAGAATTGTCACTCTTGAGAACCATTAGAATAGGAAAACTCCATACACTCTCACTCTCTTCTATAACCCCATCAATTTTCTGTTGCATGAAATGACTTACAGGGTAGTTTTTGGATTTCATTGGCGGAAAATCCAATGGAATTCTGATACTATGTTCCACTAGTATTGTGCAGCCAAATTTAATATTTTTTATAGAATCAAAATACTCATTAACTATAGAATTTATTTTCGTGAGACAAATCATCTGCTGTTTGAATAGAATTTATTTTGAACTTTTTTCATCTTTACTAAAATACCACTGTCCATCGCTTAAATCAAGCACAATACTCATTTTTACCCAAAACTTTTGTGTGTATTTTATCTTTCAAGGAAATCGGAATTTCCATATAACCAGAACATTGTAAGTTTTCATTATTTGCCACAGTACCTACAAGATGAACTTGAATTTTATGCGCTACAATTTTGATTACAGCGACATTTTTCGTATGATGCGTCGTTTGCAAGATATGACCAGAAACCCTGAAAAAATTTTTTGGCGTTTTTCGGTTTGAGCCGGTAGTGCTACGCAGGGGCGTCCATAGGGGGGACAAATGGGGCACTTGCCCCCCTCCTAGGCCTGGAGATTATTATTGTTTCATGATGCTACCATTGCTACCAGAAGAATAACAAAACAGAATAGGAAAAGTGATACTAAAGGCTCATCCTCAATCAATTTAGTAGCGAAGTGGCACTTCGGCACGCAAGCTAGGGAAATGTTGTTTAACGTTGGCATCCTCAATTCAATTCCGTGCTGGCATGCACGTCGACTCTGAAGTGAAGGTTGCAAGCTGCCAGCTTTTTCGATGCGTGCCGACTTATGTCATGCGCAGTACAGTAAAAAATAATTTAGGTTATCCTTGCGTTCAGTATTTTGCTCAAAGAGCAGAGCGGAGCCGTAATCACGTGAACAGCAAGCGCACAGAGCAGTTAAACGCTGTATCACAGGGCTCGAAATTTTATTAAACGAACGTGAATGAGCCTGCACCGAGTACCGAGTACACTTTTTGAATAAACGAACGGTAAATTCATGCTCAGAGAACTCAGATCAAAATACCGAATGCACGGTATGTGACCGTACTACACGCACAGCAGACTCTGAAAATTGACAGCATTGAGGATGGGTATAAATTTTCCAGCACGCGTGCCAAAGTGCCACTTCGCTACCAGATTGATTGAGGATGTAGCTTTAAAGTTGCTTACACAATAAATAATAATTGTCAAATTGACATTCTTTCTGTCTGTGCAATGTGTGTTTATTTTTAAAAATGACGTCATTATAAATGAGTACAGTTTAGACTGCTTATGCAGTGATATACGTATGGTTACTCATTGGCAGTCGTTTTTTATCTGACACTTTCCGTATGAGGAGCGAAGGGGTGAAGCACATGGCAAAAACCACATAAAAACAGGTGTGACGTCAGGTAACCATTGACGTTTTAACAGATGGAGCCACCAGCTCACATTTTTTTGGAGTATCAGATTAAAATCGACGAACTTTACATAAATGGTTTTATTTACGACTGACATATAATGTAAGTATTACATATATTTGTGATATTGGCAGTATAAATGCCATATTATTCCCGCGAGGGAATAATTATTAGGTTTGTTCCAACCGGCAGTAATTTCCAGTAATATTACTGGCACACATGCGCAATTGTGAAATGCTGTTCCAACCAGTTAAAATTACTAATTTAGAATTGGCGATAATTGACAGTTCGTCGTTCCAACCGGAGTTACGGATAGTAAAATTACGGTTCAAACGATTCTTGCTTAAAAGGAAGAACTGTTGGTTCTAAAATTAGACGCATGCGTAGTGAGGTCGAAAATGAGTCAGTGGTTGAACAACAACGAACCTAAATAATAATACATAATCCAGAACCTCAGTTTTTTGTTTATTTAAATTATTTATTTGAAAATGACTGCAATGGAAGTTAAGTAATTTTATTTTATTTGTTCTCGGAGTTAATGAATCTGATTTTTGTCTTATATTAGGTTTAGAAGAATTCCTTATTGTGGTGGAAGATTCACCTGCAAGTATGCAAGTTATGTTGATTTTGTTGTTTTTATCTTGTGTTATGAGTACTACTAGTTCAAAAAACGTTCCAACAAGTTTTTAAGTTATTTAGTATAATATTACTGTTTTTGATTGCGCAATCGCATTAGCGCAGTTACGAACGATAATATTACAGTAATATTATTGCAGGTTGGAACAAACCTATTGACTCGTAGTATAATCTATCATTATTTAAAAACTAAAAATAAGTCAAATTTTTGCCCCCCCCCCCCCCTGAAAAATGTTGTATGGACGCCCTTGCTGCTACGAGGCAGCAAACTTCAAATTCTACCGCTCTCATGTTACGAAACAGGCACTTTTGAACACCATTTGATCAGACTATTAGTGGATTATTGAACATGTCAATGTCATTCTTCAATAGAAATTCATTACAAATATGTAGCATGTTATTTATAAGAGAAAGAGATATACTTCTTCTCTAATTATGTGCAAAGAGGTACAGGGCCGGTTCAATACCTATTTTATGCCGAGGCAAAGTTCAATTCTGGCGCCCCCTTTATTCAAAATGGTTAAAAATCAAGATGATAAACAATGAATTTTAGGCTATCCTTTAGACTTAGAGAGTAGTAGAATAAGACGAAAAAAGTGACTTAATTTTTTTTATCATATACATATTCACTTATTACATGAGGTCCGTTCTCACAGAAATCATAAACCAGTCAGAGTGTTTTATTTTTTAATTAGTGCAAATCGCCAGAAACCAGTTTTCTGATAGTTTATTACAACCAATGAAATTCGCTCTGATACTTGATAGGGATTAGGTATGTGATGTTTGTGAGAATAGATCTATACTTACTGTAGATAGATATATACAGGGTGTCCGGAAAATAGCGCAAAAACTCTCCACTACGTAGTGGAGGACCCTTCAGGTAACCCCAGAAAAATAATTTAAAAAATCTGGGGATATTCTTAAGAAAGTTATTAGCATTATAGCATTTTAATGTTTATTAAAATTGGCAACACTGAGAATATCCCGTTGACAATTTGCATACAACTTGTCACAGAACTACATTGAATACCTATGTAATTACCTGAAAAATTCGAAGGTGACCTGCTGTAATTTAGATATTTTGTAATTTTCATAGAGCGTTTTGAAGGTTCACAACAAATTTTTATAAATCACTATATTATGGAACAAAAAAAGATTCCTAACACTTTGTACGGAACATTGCAATTTGAAAAAAAAATCAAAAATAAGGAAGTTGAACTTCCACATTTACCTCTTCATATTACGACGAATAGTTGAAGATTTTTTTCATTACTTTTCTAGGGTTATTCAAAGGATCCCCTATGACGTAGTGGAGAGCTTTTACGCTATTTTCCGGAAACCCTGTATTGTATTTTTCAAACTAACTAACCACAAAAATTATTTCTCGAAACCAATTAGGCATTCCAACGACCTGTCAAAAAGTGCGTTGTGGCAGAAGTTCATTATCCCGTATATGAGAGAATGTAATTTAAAGCTTTTTAAAGTGCATTTTGTGGTTATTTTGTGAATGAACTCTGTTTATTTTTTTATTTTATTGACTTTATTAGTGTTTCTTCCAATTAAAAATGCCACAAACGGGTCTTGAAGTTGATTGTGGAAGTAGTTTCAACAAGGTAACAAGGATGATGTCAGGCTTTTTTCATTGCCCTTTGTTTCAAAATTTTCCAATTAAAACGTGAAAATTTTTCACTACCACCGTTCCTGCATCTGAAATAAAGCCATTTTCGAAATATTCGTAAGAATCTAAGCTTTTGTAGGCCTTCATTTGCTCATTAATGTGAACTGTGGATCAAAATGTCATCTGGACATTTTTTTAAACTAACCGTTCGCCCAGATCCCGATTTTCCTGGATTCAAGTCTTTAAATATTCACTCTGCA